CGCAATGAAAGGCGAGTCCCTTGACAGAAATACACGAAGTTCCGTGCTTTCACAAACCACTGGAATTGAAACTAGGCTCTGTAAAGGAATCAGCGTTGTTACGGATCCAATAGCAAGTGTCGCACACCTGCATGTATTTCTCCAAGGCTTGTCTCCTAGTGTCAAGGAAGTTCCCCGACAGCGAAGTTACCAGCCGCTTTCCAGGGAAGTCGAGGTTGCGGACTACAGAGTATTCATCACGAAGCTTGTTGTGCATCCGTAGGAATTCATTGTACCGCCGTGCGACGACCCAGCCGGATGAGAAAGTTCCGTCCAGAGCGAGCTGTTGTATCTCGACGAGGTACCGGACCACGGACTTTCCTTCTTCCTCGGCGACGGTTGAACTGACAATAGAAACCTTTGTCCTATGTGGGACAAGGCGGTTAGCAGATTCTTGCTGCTCGTACTGGGTTCTTTGAAAGTGCAGTTCCCTGAGCTCTCGAGTCATCGAAGCCTTTGCTTTGCGAAGAAGGCGGAGCTCTTGAGTATCCCCCGTTAATTCAGCTTTCTTGATGAGTGTGTCCAGCGTCGCCGAGTGAACCTCCAACTTTGATATTTTCTTGCCGAGACGGGCAATTTCATACGATAGTTGGAGGTCGCCAGGCCCTGCAAGCTGAAATGATCCCTGTCCAACAACATGTGCACTCTCCGTTGCATCTTCTTCTTCGTTCTCTTCGTCAGCATTCGGGTCTTCCTCATCTCCGAACATTCCACGCGATTTCCTCCCGTGGCCGGGAACGGAAGCAACGAAGCCATCCGCTTCCTCAGTACGATCTCGGGGCTGGCTAGAGTGCTGCTCAGTAGCAATAATGTCGGTCAATGCGGCCTGGATAGCTTCCATACGTTCAGCTTCGTCTAAACTGGGTCTCCCATCGTCCGGGTCGTCGAAGAGCGGGGCACGCGAAATATCCGAAGATATGTCCGACAGGGGAGTCATAAGAACATCGATGTTGCTACGAGATGTTGTGGGGGGCGTATAAATTAATGGTCCCTGAACCAAGTGAGGATGTTCCGAAGAACGATTCGATGGAGTGAGGGACGGGAATGATTCGGAACGAGCAATTTGGGACTTGTTCCGCGATGACGATCCAAGAGCAGGGACAGCGGAGGATAAATCATGGTGGTGTTGTGGTTCGCCAATCGGTGCGGATGCTTCGACCTCTGGATTACCGAACGAGGCGTCCTCGAGTACTCGAAACCATAACTCTGATTTCTGGAAATCTTCAAAATCGCCCTCCATTTCTTGCTCCACCTCCCTCTGGGCCAACATGACACTCCTGCGAACTTTCTTATTCTCGATGACACTGGGCGTCACTTCATTAGAGGCGTAACTTCGAATGATATCGACATGCTTTTGTGAGATCGGGGATAAAGAAGGGTGAGGCGGTGTGGCAGAGAAATACAGATCGTTGATCAGGCAAATATCCTCTCGTAAGGTTGTCGAGTTGGAGGGATCTTGAATTGGATCGCCCTCATCGCCAGAAGTGTAGTCTACCGATTCCAAAGGATTCTTGAAACTTTCTACCGTCACCCAAAACTGTACGAGTAGCGAACGATGTTGACGATCCATGAATTCCATGAAGTATGAGAGGGAGGTCGGGTTACCAAGAACATCTCTGAATGAGACTCGCGGTCGTGTGTACATTTCACGCGAGACAGTCGTCTGGTTGGATAGAGTACATGAGTGGTCCGAGTAGGGGCACAAAGTGAATAACGCAAACCGGATCTTGTTCGCCGCCCAGAACAACAATTCTCTGCTCAACTGTGCGCTTTGCAGTGTACAGCCTATCCAAAAATGCGACAACATCTTCAGTCCTTTGGCCGTTTATCCACTCCTCTTTCTCGTGATTTGCTATATAGGATTAGTTTCCCGCCCGACATGAGGGTCAAGAGACGTACCAAGTAACAGCCTTGTCCTGCGAATTTCACCCATTACATCGTTCTTGAGGCGACGCGCATCCAAAAGAGAGGAACAACGATTGATGCTTCGAAGGAAAGACTCGAACTGACGGACATCAGTACGAATGGTAATTACATCTCCGGGGGTGACCGTCGATGAGATTCGGTGGTTGCGTCGTGGCGATTGGGCTTCAAGGACGTTTCGTACCTTGGAAATCAACTTTCTATAGAGGATCAGCAAAAGACATTCTCCCTGGCAGAAAACGCATACTGCTGGTGTATCGCAGCTCCAGCCTAGTACGAAACTCAGAAGACGACCAATGGGAGGACACTAAATACTCACCACTTGTTCAATTGTACGATTCCAAAAGTCAGGATCTGTGACCATATCCATGATTGGATAAAGCACAGTGCAAGCTATGACTTCCCGGACTACTGTCTTGAGGACCTTGCTTCGTGCTTCATTCTCTGGGAGGATGTGGGGGAGGATCCGGTCTACGATGCCCCTCAGATGCATTTCCTCGCTCTGTTTCGTGAAGGTGGACGAAAGATTGTCCACAGCCGGATGCAACCTTTCGCCCTTTCCGACATATCGGCTAGCCAGAAGCATGTCAAGTTCCTCTGACTGGGTGAGATGACGCTCAAGGCCAGCTCCACGAAGAGCGACCTCTGACTGACGAAACTGGTCAATGTGATTGGTGACCTTGGGCAAGATCCGTCTAACGAGGGTAGATGGGAGATCTATGGTCGCTGTGCGCTGCAGAAGCTGTTCGAATGCGGCATGCAAGGTTGTTGACACGGCGGTGGGGAAAGAAGGGGAGGACGAGATGTCTTTGTACCAGGACAAAATAAAGTCACGGACTATAAGGATCATAATCTCATTTAGGTTGGAGGACACTACGGGCATGTCGGGACATAACGACGGCAGCGACTGAGGGGACTTGTGTGACCATTGTGAGCGGGTGAGGACGACCTGCCACGCGGCGGGGGTTGAGAAAGCAAGAGGACGGGCTGCATGGGAGAGCGGGTTTCCTTGTGCAGGTGCCTTTAAATCGAGCCTGTATGCGAGGTAAAAGTGCGCGAGGAGAAATGATATGAATACTAGGAGGACGAAAGGTGGAGCGAGGAAGAGGAGGGCGAGTGGGGAGGAAAGGACGCGGAAGACACCTGGAATGGACACGGCAAGGATACCGACGAGGAGTACCGTCCTTGTCGTGATCACAGGACCGTTTTCATAGGTGAGGTCGGGAGAGCGCTGCATCAAGTCAATTGGGTCATGTCAAGTTGGTTCGTGTGAGCCCGGAAATTATTATTAGTGTACGTAGAAGAAGCAGCGCGTTACAAGGATCTTGGTTCAAAGCATCAAAAGTTGGCACTGCGCGTCAATTACGTTTTGTCGACTGACACTACGCGTTCTAACTCGCTCCCGGCGCACATACATAAGCATCGTGGTCGCCGCTGTGCTGCGTACACTCAGCCCATAGAATGTCCACGCACGGCACGCCTCGCCCCTTCTCCACCGCAGAAGGTTTTGTATGTGGTGGTCTTGCGGCCTCCATTGCGGTGAGCCATCGTCAAATTGTTCTCTTGCACTTGTTTCTCACGCGAATGAGCAGGTTACCTTCTCAAATCCCCCAGAAGTCGCGAAAACGCGTCTGCAACTCCAAGGCGAGCTAGCAAGGAATGGCGGACAAAAGGTTTACAAGAACGCTATTGACGTTCTCGCAAAGACGTGGAGAAACGAAGGCATCCGAGGCATGCAACGAGGCCTCGGCCCAGCGGTGAGTTGTCCGTATGCCTTCGTGGTGTCACCCTCACAATTTTCCAGTACGCATATCAGGCAAGCACTTTCACTTGGTTTACCTCTCAGTCTTCGCGACCTTTTTCCAGATTCTCCTCAACGGTTCACGCTTAGGTACATAAAGGCTGTTTATCACTTACTCGTAGAGCTGACATGATGTAGGGTTTTATGAGCCTCTTCGTCGGACAATAAACCGTGTCATAGGCCGGCCTGTGACCTGACCAAATACCTTTGACATCTATAGCAGCTGGCGCTGCCAGTGGGGTAGTCGGTGCGGCTTTGGGAAATCCACTGTTCCTCGTCAAGGCTCGCATGCAAGTTAGTCAATATGTTTTATCATGCATGAAATGATTGATCATCATCACGAAGGCATATTCTCCTGCACTACCCGTCGGCACCCAACACCACTATAAAAGCTCCTTTGACGCACTCTCAACGATATTTCGAGCCGAGGGATTCCGAGGTCTTGTCCGTGGTATAGATGCTGCCATGCTTCGAACCGCAATGGGCTCTTCTGTTCAACTGCCTACCTACAATTGGACCAAAAACCAACTCGTCACAAACGGTATCTTGCCTGCCAACAGTGTCTGGACGTATCTGGCTAGTAGCTCTGTATCGGGTATTTGTGTGGTATGTTATCAAGTAATGCCGAAACTCGTATCTTGTACTGATTCCTCGGACAGTGCGTCGTCATGCAACCAGCAGATACCGTGAGTGTGCTAGGTTTCCCGTAGTACCGCCGCTGACCTCAAGCAGGCTCTCACTCGGGTGTATAACCAACCAACGATACGGTTACCTAATGGACGTTTGCAAGGTACATTATACAGGAATCCCATTGACTGTCTCTGGAAGACCTTTAAGGCCGAAGGGGTATTTGGGTGGTATAAAGGCAAGTAGAGTTGCCACTTGTCCTCATTCCGGTTTGTGACCCTTCAAAACAGGTTCGACAGCACATTTTCTGCGCATTGCTCCGCACACGTAAGTTATCATGCCGGACATTCCTACTTTTGCTGACCTTGTTATGCAGAATCATTACCTTGACTGCCAACGACATCATTATTAGTCTTTACAAGGAGTTCGTAATTAAGCGAGGATTGTTATAGACGTTGAGCACCTCTAGACATCTCATCAATTTAGAGATATCACGTACTCTGATCAGATTCACATGGCACGATGGCTGAGTTATACGGCGCCAAAGATAATCGTCGAGTTTTTTAGGTCGAGGTCATGATTCATAACGTTTGTCCATTTTGGCGCCGAAGGGCTCGTAGCGCAGTGGTAGTGCGTGTGATTCCAGACAAGGGATATCCACAAGGTCATCCGTTCAATCCGGGTCGAGCTCATCTTTTTTCCATTGATCATGCTGGCTTCTGGGAGTATACAAGACCGAAGTTTATTCGGTGCAATACCAGCATTACAACAGATTATTTGACCAATGTCCATTTGGAATTCTTCTTGTGCTCAAATACACTTCTCCACCTGGGGAGCGATCCATCCATGCCGACGCCTGCGTGGGAACCAAGTTGGTGACCTGATGAACCGATACGTCAGAGTTGAGTCAATAGACAAGGGTAAATAGCTCACAAGATACCGTTGACCAGGTACAAAGGGGTTTTGAGTGCAGCCTTCGGATACCGATACCCCAGGAACCTCCCATACCGTAACTTGCGCCGTTCGCTTCGATGGATACTTGTACGTTCTAGCATCATTGACAACAACCACACAGAAAACCTTGACATCGCGCGGGGGACAGGTTGACTGACATTGTATTAACACCCGACAAAGCTCTGACAACCGAAGTATCGTACCTCGAGTTCCTGCTCAATCTCTTTCGAAACTACATCTCGATCCTGAACGGCTCTCTCTCGGATATGTCGGGCCAGCCATCCAGCATCTTCCTGGCTAATAGTTGATATGACACTCTGGGCTGCCTCGATGTCTTCCTGCAAGGCATCGTATATGTCATAAATCTTGTCGGGTGGACCATCTGTTCGACCATTGATGTCTAGCATTTGTGCAGTAAAATATGGCTTCACCATCATACATGGATCTGAATTTCGGGCCTGCACGTTGCTCAAGTCGTTCTGCAAAGTCGAGCAGCCTATCCCTGCGTTTTTCATATTCAGACCATACACTTGAAGCATGCAACTCTCGCTTCGTCTGTGGGCAGTGAGTAGGCGGTCCGTGGGAATCTGCATGCCGTACCTTCCATTGTGTGCTTAGCTTCAACTCCTCTTTCGCGTCATGCTGGTCCCACTCTTTGTTTCCGACCATCGTCGTCCTCGACGAATTCCATGTATGCCACAGGGTACGCCTATTCGGATGTCAGAATCCAATATCTGGGAGTATACATGATCAAACCTTTATTACTCTGAGCATCATGACGGCGACATTGCCGCCATCCGCTGTCAAGCTGTTCAGTGTCGCAATAAACGGCCCACGTTGAAAACCAAGCTTCGTATGCCATGGGGCCATATGGGTTGAATTCCCAGTCAACAAAAGAACATTGGAGTTGTAAGCGTCCAAGATTTCAGAACCTTCCTTTCGCTCCGCTGAGAGCTGTGGTTGGGACTGAATGGAGCGAGCATATCGTTCAGGAATGGCTGAACTAACCTTTGCACCTGCTACAGCGAATTTTCCGACCAATTTGTATCCTTCCCTTTCTTACAGCTCGCGCTAGTGGAGCATCGACTCGCGCACGTAGCCTATACCAACCATCAGTCACCTCGAGCTCAGGATGGCTTTGGACTGCGGCGATAGCCTCTCCGGTGCCACCAGCAGGCCAAGTTATATCTGAGATGCAGAGCACCATCGGCGATTCGGCTGATGCGTCCCTGGTTGTTATCAACCGTAGTGGTGGACGGGAGGAGCTGTTCAAGTCCCGCTCGTATCTGACAGTATATTTGAACTGCAAAGTCCGAGTTTTTCAGATCAGTCGCTGACCTGTACATCAACTGACGAATAACTTCCGGCCAACACCAACGCTTCCTCAAAGAATCACTCTCGCTCGTAGGATCAAGAGCAACCATGCCAGCCAATTTCCAGAGGACGAGTGGCCAGTGATTGTCAACCCACGCTTGTTTAGCGAGGGTGCAGCCTTTTTCGTGCAATTCTTCCAGCGCCGCTAAGCGGCCCAAGACAAGGGGCGAAGATGGATCGGGTGAAATTGGAAGAGAGCGAGAAAGGGTGGTGAAAGCGTAGAAAGGGGTTGTTCGGGGGTTCACTTGACTAAGTTCCTTGAAGTTTCTGGAGCAGACTATGAGGATGGACCGAACGCCGAAGTGCCAGATGAAACAAACATTCCCATATTCTCGAGTTGTTTGGCACTGTAAGCTTGTGGACGCAAACCAGATGTGGCGAGTGTCTGCCTGCCGGGAGGAGGAGCTGGTACAGAGGGCTGAGTTCCGGAGAGGAAAATTGGACATCCACAACCTGTGCTCACTGAGATCAAAGATCCTGCCGTCGCTGATCCGCTTGCATGGTCGATGCGACGAAGAGACCGAAGGTGGATAGACACGGCTTATGCTTGCTCTCGGGTTCGATGGAGTCGGTGGGAGCTTCATATTTTCAAGTACAGGTGCTCTTGGAGTGGCAGATTTCACGAGAGTTTTGAATGGCGTTACAAATTTTGGTTTCATCGCGGCAGTCCCATGCCTGGGAGTAAAACCCAATGGTTTTTGTGCTGCGACGTGGTTCACGACCGAGGATGGACGCAGGGGTGATACGGCCGGGGTGGATTGAAAGGGGACGGTAGCAGAGGCATGATAGCCGCGCAGAGGCGAGCTGATGCTCGGCGTTGATACCTGTCGATGCGACGGCATAGAGGGAAGTGCACTAATTAGGGGAGATTTGAAGGCTTTGGTTTGCCTGTTCGGTGCCCAAGCTCTGCAGTACTGTATTTGCAGATCTGAAAAGGGAGGGAGGGGTTGGGGTCTCGGGTGCCTGCCCAGACGAGTATGCACTTCTTGCAGAGGAGAATGCTACCCGTGGAGGGGACATTATCTGGCTGGAGGGGCGAGAATCGGGCTCATTGTGTGTTGGAAGTTGGTCGGGAGGGGGTGCCTCTTCCTCCCATTTCTTCCTTTTCTCCTCGGCCTCTCGCAGGGCAGCGGCTGATGGGATGAAGAGCGACTTCGCGTTTTCGCCCTTGGCAGACGGTCGCTGGAAGGCAGGAAATGCTGTCGTGGCTGCGCTGAATCCAACGCATGAATTGGACGAGTCAAGGTTGAACCATGCGGCATCATCGACCTCTGGCGCTTCGTCGTTGTGTGGTTCCGATTCGTCTGACAATTCGAACGCGGAGGCACTCATGAAAGGTGCATGTATGCGCATTGCCTGACCTGAACGAAAAGGGTTCTCGTCGCTCTGGCGAACGGCGGTCGATTGGGAGAGCTGAGCGTCTAGGGAATCAAAGGCGTCGATGTCGTCTTGGCTGAGATCGGCGACTTGATCGTCAAAGGTGGGGGAAGATAGACGCATTCGCTTTGCGGGTGGGGAGAGGGACATGGTGGTGGTGTAACGTCGAGGCGCGTGTGTCACATGACCGAGGAGATGTCGTCGACTCGTCCGTCCTGTTACGTCCGCGAAACATTCACCGTTCCCCACAGGTTCTCTCCAAAATCACCTGACCCAATGAATGGCGCAAACAACCTCCCTCGCACCCCAAAACCTCCTCCTGCCGGTCCCGCGCCTCCCGCCCCGCTCGTGTCTCCCCCTGCCCCCCCTCTCCCACCAGCTCAGTCCTCCTCCACAACCCGCACCCCGCTGCATCCCCCCACAGTGAACGGCACTCAGAAAGCAAAGAAAAAGAACGATGCCCCCGTCGATCCCGCTGCCATGTATGAAAGTCTCAAGAATCGCATCGCCGCCCTCGAGGAAGAGGAGGTTCTCGAGGAGGAGGAGGAACAACGGTTTGGTCTGCACATTCTCCCCCCACTTCATCGCCCTTCTTCTCACCTCCCCGTAGCTGAGGAGGCCGTCAAGTCCGTCAAAGGTATGAACGAGAACGCCATCCACGCCAAATACGTCGAACTAGTATGTGTTCGTGATGGACGCACGCTGCCTTCACCCAGACCCCTGCCGATAGTTTGCAGAACTCAAGAAACTTGAACGGGATCACGCAAAGGAGAAGCAAAAGCTCGTCAAGGACAAGGATGCAGGTTCGTCCAACCGGAATCTCGTGCTATTTCACGCACGTCTCACCGCCCCTCAAAGCCAAGGGTCAGCTAACAAAGGCAAATCAGACGAAAGCAAAGATGGAGAACTTGGCACGAGAACTACAAAAGGTGACCATCTACTGCGCCTCCCAGGGAATCGCTAACAAAGTGTACAGGACAACAAGCGACTCCGGGTGCGCATCACCTCCCGCACTAGTTTCCCAGTGTCTAACCACCATCTAGGAAGACAGCAAGCGCCTAGCACAGTGCGTAGAAGAAGCCCAGGAAGAGGTACTTGGGACCACCTTGAGCCCTTCTGCTTACTTGAAATCCCGTAGATCATGCAAATGAAAAACGACATGGCTAAACGAGTGGACAAGGCAAAGATGCAAGACATGAAATACCGCGAAATGCCAGACATTGTAGTCAAAGTCGTCTGTCGTTATCGTGCAGAGCTTTTCTTCAAGATTTCACGCAAAACTAAGCTCTCCAGACTCTTCAATGCTTGGACAGATAGGATGGAAGGGACGTCCACGAAAAAGGGTGACGGGAAAGTGGCCACAGGTGCTGGGGGCAATTTGAACGGTTCCGCGAAATCAGAAGTTGAGAGTACACACTCCTGGAATTCCAACACTACATCATCCATGCAGTTCATATTCTCCCATAACGGGCGGACGCTTGATGCAGACCACGCGCCAGAGGAGCAAGGGATGGAGGACGGTGACGAGATTGTCGCCGTAGAACTTATGGACCTTACTGAGGGTCCCGGTCTAGATGCTTCGGTAAGTCGGCGCGAAAAGTAACCAGTATTACCTCTCACACCAGATTCTAGGACGAATTGCCTGATCACCGACGCCATAAACTAAAGAAGAACTGGACAGACGATCCTGTGGAGTCAGTCATGAATTGGCCTTCCCTTTACTCGTTTCTGACAATCTGCCCAGGGCTAAACGTTCCCTCGAAGATATTTTCGATACCGTGTACGTCTTTGTACATCGCCGTCATGGTTGCCTTACAAAAGTTGGACAGCGTGCGGGAACGCCTGAAAGAAGTCTTGCACCAGTACAAGCTTCGTGAACAACATTTTGAGTGCGTCATTCGATCGAAAGAACTTGAAGTGCTACTTTCTCGCGCCCGAGCCGCCGAGCAAAAGCAACTTGCAGATGGTGAGAAGAGTCGCGCTGACA